AAAAAAAAAAAAAAAAAAAAAAAAAAAAAAAAAAGGAGGGAGGGTAGTCCTTCATATTATATATATATTTATATAAAACATATGGAAATTTGTTTTTACACAGATCGGTCTTTGTTTCAAATTTACAATGGATATCTAAAAAAAAATTCTACACGGCAAATATTGCCAACAAGTTACACCATTAATACTGATAAACGGAGGAGCCTACGCGGTGTTTTGGTTATTAGGGAAAGAAAGTAGAATAAATAAACAGGAGCCTTGCTATAGTTTTTAAAAGTGCCTTAACCTTTCTGCGTCCCCGCAATCCTGAATCCGCGCGGTCACCGGGCCGTCCTAGTCCCTGCGTCGCGCTGTGTTCGGCTCGTTCTCGGACCAGAAAGTTTACAGTAGAGGTTGGGAGAGAGAAAAATACTCACTGAAAAAGTCTAAATAAAATTCAAGACAAAACATAACAGAAAAGGCTGAAGCGAAGGAAGAAGAGGAACGTGGAAGGGGACGGAGGCAGACGCCCGGACGGCCGCTTGCTTCGTGGCTCCTTCAATTTTCTGTTTAAAGACGGACAGTGGCTTCCGAAATGCAAGTTGTTCGCACAAAGATCCACCTGCGGTCCAAGGAGGAGACTTCCGAGGTGGGGAGGGAGATCGGGAGGGAGATCCGAGCTCTTGTCCCCTCCCGCTCCCCGGAAAAGACAGCTCTAAAGGGAGACTTGCGTATTCCAAGACATTCTTTCAAAAAAAATAAAAAATAAAAAGATAAATACTCAACCAAAAAATAAAAGTATTTGATAATGATTGGTCTCACATGTTTGCCTTTCTTCTAAAAATCTTCCTCCCCTTCTGCCATTGGCCGGAAGGAGGGGGGACCTCAGCAGAATGCCTGTGTGGATGCGGAAGGCCTTCCCCTGCACAGCACCGTCTCAGCCGGGTTCAACAGGATCAAAAACCTTTATCTACCAACGGCTGCAGTCGGATCAGACCCACCACTACCATTTCTTAACAATTTTGAGGGAGTGAGGAAGGAGGTGCCAACCGCAGCGCTGTGTCTTTGCGTTGGGGATTCCTTGCCAAATACTCCTGTTGCGGAGGGGTGGAACCCTTTTTTTCTGCCGACGGTTATACCTCGAGAATAAAGCAGTTTCTTGTGCCGGTCCAGGGTCCCTGTGACCCGCCTGCCTGCACCAGGAGGGCCGGCGGCGGCAGCCTCACATCACGCAAGGCTTGATGTCTTGGTAGGTGACCTGCTGGTGATAGTAGGAACCCCCGCCGGCCGAGTGCATGGAAGAGGACGCCATGGCGTTGAAAGAGAAGACAAACTCCTTTCGATCACACATGCTGGGCGACTGCGAGTGATACCGCGGGATGCCTGCAAGGCGAGGCGACAGGAGGGGTTGGGGGAGCAGAAGAGTTAGCCACGGTGGCTCAGAGTTCAGGCGGAGGAGCAGCGCTCCTGGGGCGCACAAGGCCTGCCAGCCTGGCTCCGGAGCACGGCGGCCTACCCGCCCTCCTCCCGGCCTTCCTGCTGCGCACCCAAGGAAAAGACTCCAGTACACTTGCCACGGCCTCGCTCCCCGCAGTGCCTGCCTGCTGCGTGCCTGTCCAGCCTCGGACCCCGTGCAGGGGCCCAGGGGGAAGTGGTGAGGGAGGCTAAGTGGAGGGCCCCTAACTCTCACGGCCGTCACCGCCAGGGCAGCCCCCTCCCCCGCCCCCCGCCGACCTCAGAGGCTCCCACTGCCGGCCGGGTGGAAGGAGAGGCCAGTGCGGAGCCAGACCAGGCCAGCAGCAGGGGTGAGAAGCAGCTTCTCCAGAGAACAGGCCCCGGAGCGGAGAAGTCCGCCACGGATAGGCTGCCTAAGGCCTCCAGGCCTGCCTCCTGCCTCCTGCCTCCTGCCTCCTGCCTCCTGGGGTTGCTGACAGCTGACCCTGGATGGGCCCTGGCGAGCTCACTCCAGCTTTTACCAGAGCTGGGCCTGCAGGCTGCGGGGAACCTGGGGCAGAATCAGGAGGCGAGGCTGCCGCATCTCCCTTGGCAGATGCTTCTGTATGTTTGGGGTGTTGGGGTATCAGGGGTGTTGAGGGTGTGGAGGCCTGAAAACTTGGATCCTAAAAAAAATGGAGCCCCCATGGCCCAGCCTGCAGCTCTGACCCTCTGGGGCCTGGCCACGCACCGCCCTGCCTCCCTCACCACAAAATGCCCCTGGACTCAGCTGTGGCTCTGCCAAACCCGGTCCCCTGAAGGCCGGGGCTGAGCCTCTGAGCGCTGGCCCAGCGGCTTTGGGCCTAACTCTTCCGTTCTGCCCAGCCCCAAGCAGAGGCAGCTCTCCAGGCAATGTGAGGGCCACCCCCGGGGGAGGGAGGGCCATCTGGCCAGGGCTGGGAGCCTTAGGTCCATCCCAGGACCTTTCCAAAGTGTAAAGGGACTTAAGGGACACAAAAGGACTTTAGGGCACTGGGGGCTGGGAAATCTTGCTAAGGACCGGCCTACCTGGTCAGGCCTGGAGCAGCCGGCAGCTGGAGTTGGAACAGAAAGAGAAACAGATTGGCCCAAACTAGGCTCAAGAAAGGTAGTCACTCTTCACAGGGGGAGAGGTCGGGCAAAGAGGCACCTTGGGGAGCTGGTGCCTCCCCTCAGCCTTGGGGTTCCGACCACAGAAGTGCAGGGGCTCGCCCCTGGCTGGGTCCCGCTGCCACTCAGATTCGACTTCCCGGGGACCAGGACGCCCTCGGCCTCCCCACTCACCTTGCAGCTCGGCTGGGGCGTTGTGGCTGTTCTGATGCAGATACGGCTGCTCCAGGGAATGCGTGGAGAGGCTGCCGGACAGGGGGTTGGCCGCGGGGTTACAGGGGGACAGGGGCTGCTGCTTGATGTAAGAGGCGCCGCTGTTGAGTGCCGCGGAGGCCGAGGGCGGCCAAGCCGCCGCCGAGC